GCAGTAAGTTTGGGCCTTGCTGGAAGAGTGCTGCCTGGGACAGAGCTGCTGTTTAGCCTGGACCAAATCCTCACTACAGCTGCAACATCAGTGCGCCAACGCCAGCGAGTGTCTGGGACTGTGAGTCCAGGGGTGTGCATACTCTGGGGTGGGGTCACTGGTAGTACAAATGGGAGCTGTATAAGCTTCAATTATTGTGATGTGTTTTGTTAATGCTATTCATTTCTAATTCTGTTAATCCCTGTTTATTTAAGTTAAGTACAGATGGTTTATTTTAAAGTATTCTATTAGACGTATATGATTTGTAGTTGTTCTGGAATTAGATCCAGATTTATGTTGGAATGGGTATGTTCCTGAAGGCTCTCAAGGCACCAGTGTGTGTACAAGGCCAGCCAGGTGGAGGCACCGCCATTTTACATTCATTGCCAGCAAGGGACTGCAGCAAGGGGGTGGATAGGGCTTTCCCCAGCTAAACACCATCCTCCCTGGGGTGCTCAGGATCAGTTTTAGGCTAAAACATCAGGCGCCCTGGCACACCTGTGAGTGTGACCTGCTCCCCAGTAACCTGGGGAGGAAAAAGGGGGTTACACTAGTACAGGATAAAAGGCACCCTATACAGATTTAGTATGGGGCAGACAATTTTCTATTTAAATGAAGGATGTCCCTGGTAATATGCGACTGTTGGCAGCCCATCCCACACCCTGCCTCAATCTGCAGAACGGAAGTCCCATGAAGAACACTGGACAAGACTCTCATTTTTGTAAGGAAGCAAAGAGAAGTATGAAGGACCCATGTGTGGTTTGGGTTTTTGTTAATGGTTTATTAACACTGGCTCAGTGAATTAAAATAGAAACGGCTGTTGCAGCATGTTCATATTTTTAAAATTGGAAAAAATTGCTCGCTTTGTAGCACAGGATGGTATTGAGCTGCCATACACGGGAAGCGAGACTATCTCCTGGAAGAGGGGGTGCTACGGAAGAAGTCCATTTGGAAAGGGTGCTCAGCTGAGACTCCTTTTGCCAGTCAGGCTGATAATGGAGTGCCATCTAGGCAGGGCCTTGAGAATGGAAAGTGTGAAGTAGGAGGAAAAGGGGAATCTTTTTGGCTGTGGGAGCCCACAAGAAAACAAGATGAAACAGATTTTCCTGGCTTTCTAGAACTCTAGATTGAGTGTCCTTGCAATTGGGATGAATGGGTTAGAGATGGAAAAGATACTTATCTACAATAATAGCTATTAAGCTTCTTGAAATAGAACGTTGACAATCAATTGGTGCTTAATTTTAAATGGCTGTTATCCAATGCAGTGAATACATCCTCTTATTTTTCATTGTGCAGATCTGTTTGGATACAAATCAAACAGGTTATCCTAAACATAATCTGTGACATTGTAACTCATGCTCTTAAATTGCCTCAGACTTTTGATCCCACATCATTTGTCAGATCAATATCATTAATGAAATTCCTGTTCTACTTTTCCTTACCACTGAGCAACTATTTATACACATAAGAGCCTGATCCTGCAAGATCTATGACTGGACTTTCTCACTATTTTGTTCAGACCAAGTCTAAAATGAATCTTTTAGAACTTGGGGGAGGGGAGAGGATTTAATATTCAGTTATGAACAGATTCCATATTCTCTGGTCATTGAAGCCAATAAGGTTGCACTAGAAACCCTAGTAATAGAGGGTATGTCTACACTACCCTCCTAGTTCGAACTAGGAGGGTAGTGTAGACATACCCAGAATGATTAAAGGTCTCGAGAACATGACCTATGATGGAAGACTGAAAGAATTGGGCTTGTTTAGTTTGGAAAGGAGAAGACTGAGATGAGACATGATAGCGGTTTTCAGGTATCTAAAAGGGTCTCATAAGGAAGAGGGAGAAAAATTGTTCTCCTTGGCCTCTGAAGATAGGACAAGAAGCAATGGGCTTAAACTGCAGCAAGGGAGGTTTAGGTCGGACATTCGAAAAACTTCCTAACTGTCAGGATGGTTACAGACTAGAAAAAGCTGCCTAGGGAGGTTGTGGAATCTCCATCTCTGAAGATAAAATTTAAGAGGCTAGATAGACTTCTGTCAGAGATGGTCTAGACGGTGCTGGATGTGCTATGAGGGAAGGGGACTGGACTTGATGACCTCTCGAGGTCCCTTCCAGTTCTAATGTTCTATGATTCTATCATTTTACCTGTGGCCAAGAGGGCAAACTGGGTAGACTCTACGACGAGAAAAGAGGTGTCCCAACTACTACTCAGACTGTTTTCTCTGAGTGTTTTTTGAACATTTTGTCAGGTTTTCCCGGCTCAGAGCTTTGACGGAAAAAAGCGCCAGTCTAGACGGGGATCTTTTGGAAAATAAAGCCTTTTCCGAAAGATCCCAAAGGAATAAGGGATCTTTCGGAAAAGGCTTTCTTTTCCGAAAGATCCCCTTCTAGACTGGCGCTTTTTTCCGGCAAAGCTCCGAGCTGGAAAAAAGCAGCAGCCATGTTTATGCAAATGAAGTGGGAGGGATTTAAATCCCCACTTCATTTGCAACTGCGATATGTCTAATTTGCATCCCTTTTACGGAAAAGGGATGCAGTCTAGACACAGCGCTGGTCTATAGAAGGGGATAAGTTCGAATTAAGATATGCAACGTCAGCTGCATTAATTGTATAATTGAAGTCAAAGTATCGTAACTCAAATTTTGACATCATCCATGCTGTGGGAAGTCAAAAGAACACGCTCCCTTTGACTTTCCTTGCTCCTCATGGAGCAGGGCTACTGGCATCAACCCAAGCGCCCTCTCAGTGGCTGTGTCCAGACTCAGGGGTTTTTTCGAAAAAAGTAGCCTTTTTTCAAAAAAACTTCACCTGCGTCTAGACTGCAGCCGCGTTCTTTCGAAATTAAATCGAAAGAACGCGGCTTTTCTTTCGACGGCGGTAAACCTAATTCCACGAAGAAGAATGCCTTTTTTCGAAAGTGCTCTTTCGAAAAAAGGCGTTCTTGAAAGCCAACAGGGCTTTTTAGAAAGAAAGCATCCAGACTCACTAGCTGCTTTCTTTCTAAAAAGGGGCTTGCTGTTTCGAAAGTTCCGCGTGCAGTCTAGACGCTCTCGTTCGAAAGAGGCTTGCAGTCTAGACATAGCCAGTTTGAATGAGTTGTTTTCACTCTGCAGAGGCTGCTTAGCTCTTCTGCGTGGTGTAGACATGGCCAAAGATACTGACCGGGAGGGGGCCGCACTGGCCCTGGTGTTCCCTGGAACCAAGCCCACTGATAAATAATAAAGAGCAGCTGCTGCCAGGGCGGGACTCTGAGCCCCTTGCGCTGGGTGGGCCCCCGGTCCCCTCCTCCCCCGGGCTGCCTCCACTTGCCCCCCCCTCAGAGCGGCCGGGGGCTGGTGGGAGGGCGGGAAGGCGGGGAGGAGGCGGGTGTTACTGCGCCGCTCCGGGGCAGACGGAGCAGTTGCGAATTCGCCGTCGCCGCGCGGGCAGCAGGGCGCGCCCGGTCCCCTGCAGCCAGGCAGCATCTGGCGCATCTGGCACATCTGGCAGCGGGAGAAGGCGGCTCCTTGCCCGGCGCCCCGCCTGCGGTCACAGGCGGACAGTGCAGCCCGCGGGATCCGCGCAGAGGCAGCCGCAGAGCAGAGCCGGGTGAGTAGCGCGAGCAGAGCCCCGCGGAGGTGCGGGGGGCTCCGGGATCTCTCCGCTGGCTGAGAGCCTTGCAGCGCCGGCTCCCAGCTAGGTAGTTGGGGGGGAGAGGTTACTGCACCGAACTCACCCCACCCCTCGTATCGCCACATTGTTCTGGGGTGGGGGCACTTGTCTGGCCCAGCAAAGTTGGCATCTTGTTCACCTTTTGCGCCTTCTTCCAAATCCGTGTATGTCACAGGCCATGCAAACCCAAAGATCAGGTGAAGGATTTGTGAGTGATTGTGAGAAAGTGATTTAAAAACCCACATGCCTCTTGTATCCTTCCCTCCCACCTCTCAGGCTGGACAAAGCCATGACGGCTGAAAAGACTATTCCTATAATTAATGGCAAGCCAGAAGATACTTTGGACCCTGAAGCCTCAAGCACCAACCTATTCCACAGCAACGATAAGAAAGTGCATGAAAGAGGCCACTGGAACAATAAGGTTGAATTTGTGCTTTCTGTGGCAGGGGAGATTATTGGGTTGGGAAATGTGTGGCGATTCCCATATCTTTGCTACAAGAATGGAGGAGGTAAGATGACATTCACAGTTTACCATAAACACATAGTAAATAAACAGTAAACAAATGCTTTGCAATGACTTACTGCATCAACTGCAAAAAATTGGATGTTTATAAGAGGACTTTGATGCTTATGCTGCCATGATAGCATTAAGCATTTTGTGAGTGTGCAAAATTATAGACTTACTTTTTTTGTAAAATGTTTTGCAATTTATTTTCACAGATTGTTTTTGCAGCTGTGAAATGTCATGTTTTTGTGAAGACAGTAATGCATTTACAAAAACTTGTGAAATTAACTGGAAATCACATTGTACAAACATGGCCAAGGTGGCTCAAAACTAATTTCACCCAAATGGTTCCCTTTTTAATACAATTGTTTCAGGAAAAGTGATTAGTACACTATTAAAATGGGACTATATATTGTATGTTTTATGCATGCAAATATATACACATGCTTATGCTTTCGAAAACAAAACAAGGACAAAACCCCCACTACACTATGGAGGAACAGCTACAATATAAAGTAATTGTGTACTTTCCAAAGTAATATCCTTTGCAAAGTACATTTAAAAAAAATGATTTAAGGGGTATATGGCAATCAACACCTGAACTTTCAAGGAGGGTTTTCTGCTCATACCTGCTTCATTGGTTTGTTCTCTGTCAAATTAGAATCACTTTCAATCTCTTTGTTTTCTGTGGAGACAAGGTAAAAAAGGAGGTTGGATTTGACACTTGCAGGAAGGATGCTAGTCACTTCATTAAATTTTAGAAATAACATTAGATACATGAAGTTTTGGAACACAGTAAAATAATTACTTACTGGAGAAAAGCTATATCTATGGTGGAAAAATAATTAAATAAAATCAAATAAAAATAGAAATATGGTCAGCTGGACACAGATACTCTTCCACTTCAGGCCTAAACAGTAGTAAAATCAGATAGCTTAGGAAGAAAGCAATGTGCTTTGTTGCTGATATGCACACGTTCACAACCTCTTTATCAGTAGATTCTCTCTGCCAGTATTGCCAAATTTATCTCCATTGTCACTCCACTAAGTAACACCATTTTGTTGGCCACATTTCTAAAGACTGCTGCAAAATAGGTAGGTTTGATTTGTAACTTGGCTTTAGTTCCTTGTACTTCTTCACATTTGCAAAAATGAGATGAAAAGAACGTTGCTGTTCTTAAGTCATTGCTTGTTGATTTCTAGTAATGATTTTATTATATAAAGACAACAAGCTGGGCATGAAATGCTGATAATCTACATATTCTTGCTCGTCAAAATGTGAAATTGCTATTGTCACCAGTGTAGAAAAGCACTTCAGTCTTCAGTCATGTCTGCTATGTTTTCAGTTGAAAAAAATTGAATTAACAAACTTCAGCATCCTAATGACTCAATGGAATAAAATATATATAAAATTTGGCACCACTAATGCAAATGGTAACACTTGTTCCCTTTAGTGGCATAGGATTTCATCCAATTGGCTCTCAGCTTTTTGGGCAACCCCACTGAGCCTAGGGGCAATGTTGGATCTGAAATCAGATTTGGGCTTATTTTATACATAAGAATTTCTTCTTCTGTATGTAGAGCACAAGTCAGGTTCTGTGAAATTATCTCCATCTGTTTTAGGGTAATCAAATAGAAAGTGTGAACAGTCGGGATGGGGTTTGGAAGTAATAGGCTATATAAGAAAAAAGACCCAAATATCAGTAGTATCCCTATAAAATCAGGACATCTGGTCATCCTAGTTTGTTTATGGGCATAGGAATGGGCTTATTGGTGGTGGTTGATTGTCAAGATAAATGGCCTTTTATAATTTCAGGTCAGTTATTGTTTAGATGTGATTGTTTATTTAGTGGGTGGAAAGCCTGGTTCTCCTCTCAGTTACACTGGTATAAATCTGTTGAAATCTCATCACTGGAGTCAGATCAGCATAAAACTGGTGTAAGTGAGAGGAGAATCAGTCCCAGAGACTTAAACAGGTACTTACTAAGGATGTAAAAGACTAGTCAGCTAGTCAACTATCTGATAAGCATTTGCTTATCATATAGTATTTGACTACTTGATTAGTCGATATCCCACCTCCTTTGCTGCCTCTAATAATATAGGGGTGGGAGGGAAAGGGGTACTTCAAAGTGGCAGCGCAGCATAGCAACGCTGCCACTTTGAAACTCCAAGGTGGCTTTTCAAAGGGTCAACTACTGCACAGCTAATCTGTGAATCAGCTGTACGGTGGGCTACCCCTTTAAAACGCTGCCTCTGTGCATTTCAAAGGGGCAGCTGCTGTGGAGCTCCCCATGGCATTTCCCCAGAACTGCGGGCTCCCCGCGGTATTTCCCTGGAACCCAGGATCAGCTGGGGAGTCCCAGGCTGTACGTGGTGTTTCGCATTCCTCCTTTGAAATGTGGAAGTACCTGTTGACTAGGGGATAAAAATTCCATTGACTAGTCAATTAACCACATTTTAACATCCTTAGTACTTACACTAAAGTCATGAAGACTCTTCATGTGAGTAGGCCAAATGGGACTTGACCTAGGCCAGCAATTCTCAAACTGTGGAGGTTTTACTGGAGGGATCTGGAGAAGTAAATATTTTCAGAAACCATGCATTAGAGAGGTGGTGGTCCGTGAAGAGACCTCTCTTTAATTATGGGTCTGCAGACTGAAATTGCAGGTCCATATGATGACATGCTGTACTTCTGAAAAGCTGGAATACTTTATCTCCTGTTCTAGGTCTAAATGACTGAAACATAATTCAATGTTACACTTTTCTCTGGTTTTTGATCATTAAAAACAATCCCCCAGAATCCTTGGTTATTTATACAACTATAAAGTTGTTCTAAAACAAAGTTTAGAAACCTTTGATTGGCTATGAACATTCAGAAGGTAAACACACGTTATTGCAGATCAAGTTCTGAAAAAAGTTAGCCATTGAAGATACTTTTATTTTCAGAGAGGTGGACTACCCTATAGGAATGAATTTTCAGCTTTTAGGGCCTGATCCTTCTCCATTAGTTGTGCTTCCTGTATTGGCTTCAGTGGTACTACTAAAAGTGTAGGGTCCTTCCTTTGTTAAGGAAAGCATATTTCTTATTTTCTTTCAAAGAGCTTTGTTTTGACTAACCAGCTCCCCATTTATGTTTGCTTGTAGGTGCTTTCCTCATTCCGTATGTGGTTTTCTTTATTTGCTGTGGAATACCAGTATTTTTCCTGGAGACTGCCCTGGGGCAGTTTACTAGTGAAGGAGGTATTACATGTTGGAGAAAAGTTTGCCCGCTATTTGAAGGTAGCAACAAGCTATTCATTTTTTTATATACATTGTATGTTTCAGCAAAAATAATGCTAAGATATGGAGATAAAAGAATGGTTTTGGTTTGAAAAGGAAATGGATACTATAATTACTTTCTTTTCTTTATTTTTTTCTCCAGGCATTGGATATGCTACTCAAGTTATTGAAGCACATTTAAATGTTTATTACATCATCATTTTAGCATGGGCTATCTTCTATCTATTTAACTGCTTTACCACAGAACTCCCTTGGGCTACTTGTGGACATGAATGGAATACAGGTATGCTCCCAATAAACTTAATAGCTACAAAAATTATTTAAAAGTAATTGACTGCTATATTAAACTGCAGGGGTCATTTTTTTGCTGGTAGATATTTGCCCATTTCTACTGATGTCAATGGGAATGTGAAAATCACATAAGCAGAGAATTTAGCCTGCAGTATTTACCATTGTTTATGAAAGAATCCTGGTTAGAACCTTGCTGATGCTTATGGGGTGTGTTGTTTTTTCCTCTGCATTGTATAGATGTTTGTTCTCATCAAATATGATACCAAAGAGGATCAGAAGCCCTAGACTTTTCTTAATTCTGAAAGGTGCCGTGAGCTAAATTCTAGAATCTCCATTCAGCACTGTATTGTACTTTCACTTTTTTTACACTCCGGGAGTTCAACTTAAAAACTGCTGGCATAATATGACTCTGTTTTTCATCAGTCCTTATTCAGAAAAACTCCCAGTGAAATCAGTTGGGCTACGTCTACACTGGCCCCTTTTCCGTAAGGGGCATGTTAATTTCACCTATCCTAGTAGGGAAATCCGCGGGGGATTTAAATATCCCCCGCGGCATTTAAATAAAAATGTCCGCCGCTTTTTTCCGGCTTTTAAAAAAGCCGGAAAAGAGCGTCTAGACTGGCCCCGATCCTCCGGAAAAAGCGCCCTTTTCCTAATCTAAGGGCAAAGTTAGAGTTGATAGTAACATACAAGAACAAAGGAGGATAACTGGTATAGCAGAATGGAAGATCATACTGGCTACTTTGAAGTAGGAATAAGAGCCTCCGGAAAAGGGCGCTTTTTCCGGAGGATCGGGGCCAGTCTAGACGCTCTTTTCCGGCTTTTTTAAAAGCCGGAAAAAAGCGGCGGACATTTTTATTTAAATGCCGCGGGGGATATTTAAATCCCCCGTGGATTTCCCTACTACGATAGGTGAAATTAACATGCCCCTTCCGGAAAAGGGGCCAGTGTAGACGAGCCCTTGGTGTCTTGCCTGCTTAAAATACAAATGGAAAAATTGGGTAAGGTGCTTTGTATCTGAACTTTCTATTCAGAAATTACTTTTCTAATGGCACCTGGGCTCAATTCTGCATACCCCAAGCTGCAGAAATAGTTCTACCGTGTGTGATTTGAAGAGAGGTAACTAGTGGTGTCCTGCAAGGGTCCCTACGGGGACCAATCCTTTTCAACATATTCATAAATGATCTGGAGAAAGGGGTAAACAGTGAGGTGGCAAAATTTGCAGATACAAAACTACTCAAAATAATTAAGTACATAGGAGACTGTGAAGAGCTTCAAAAGAATCTCACAAAATAGATGACTGTGCAACAAAGTGGCAGATGAATTTTAATACTGATAAATGCAAAGTAATGAATATTGGAAAACATAAGACCAACTCTATGTACAAAATGATGGGGACTAAATTAGTGACTACCACCCGAGAGATCTTGGAGTAATTTGAATATTTCTCTGAAAACATCCACACAATGCACAGCAGCAGTCACAAAGCAAACAATGTTAAGAATTATTAAAAAACAGATAGAGAATAAGAGAAAATATTTTATTGACACTATTTAAATCCATGGTACCACCCACATCTTGAATACTGCATGCAGGGATATGGAACAGCTGCCATACGAGGCAAGATTAATAAGATCGGGACTTTTCAGCTTGAAAAAGAGACAACTTAGGGGGGATATTATAGAGGTCTATAAAATCATGACTGGAATGAAGAAAGTAAAATAAGGAAAAGTTAACACAAGAACTAGGAGGCACCAAATGAAATCAATAGTTAGCAGATTTAAAACAAAAGGAAGTACTTCTTCACATACCACATAGTTATTGTGGAATTCCTTGCCAGAGGATGCTGTGAACACCAGAACTTTAAGAGTTCAATAAAGAGCTAAATAGAACATAAGAATGGCTGTACAGGCAGTCCCCGGGTTACATACAAGATAGGGACTGTAGGTTTGTTCTTAAGCTGAATTTGTATGTAAGTCGGAACTGGTACATATTGTAGGGGAAACTCTAGCCAAACATTTCTCCAGAGCTCAGTTTTATTCCCCCACACCTCACTTCCCTCAGTCCTTTATTCTCAAGCTGAGGTGTCTGCTGAGAAAAGCCGCTCTGCGTCTCCCTGGTCTGCTGGGGGGTGGCGCTAGCTTTGTGTCTCTCTGGTCTGCTGGGGGGAAGCAGCTAGTGCGGGGTTGCCTCACCCCGTTTGTAAGTAGGGATCTGATGTAAGTCGGATCCATGTAACCCGGGGACTGCCTGTATAGTGCACAATAGCAAAATATGTAAAAGTACAGGCAGCTAACAGTATAAAAAGTAGCATTAAACAAGATACCATACCATTATTATTGTATTCATCAATGGGTGACCGTATCCCACCACCATTCAGGATACACATTGAAACATGATTCCATGTATTTTCATCTCTATGTTTGAGGTTATTGTAAATCTGTAACAAAAAATATTTTAACCACTTTTTAGTCTTTGCTTAATTCTAGATGCAATAATTTTACAAATTACAAATTCTGGGTTTCTGGGAGCTTTTTCCAGGGTAACGGGGAAAAAAACAAACAAAAATAAATAGTGCCATTTACAGGTATTGTTAAAGAACAAACTTTTTAAAAATCTGTACCCACAGTTTTGTTATTTTTTCCAAACACGTTTGAAAATAAGCCCCTGTTCCTGCAATTTCTGCATTTTTTTTGAAAACTAGAGTGTGACTTTATAGGAAACAGAAACCTAAGCTGCACACTCTAAAGTAAAAACTAAATGAGTGAAGGCATGATTTGTAGACAGTGTCAAAAAGGAAAAGTAAAGGGTAACAGGTTACTTCAGAAAATGTTGAAACAGAGTAATAAATATATGAAGAATTAGAAAGGTGAGACACGTTGAATATAGCTGTTCATAAAGAATTAGAAAATTTAAATATATACAAACCAGGCAATCTAATGATATGCTATCAAGATTATTAAGAAATATGACAGAGCACCATATCACTAGCATTTAATATCTGAAAGTCTTAAAAATTCTGGGAAGAACTAGAAGATTGGAGGAAAGCAAATTGAGTACAGATTTTTCCAAAATTACTTTACACTTATCCACATTAAACTTAATTTGCCATTTTTTTGCCCAATCACTCAGTTTTGTGAGATCTTTTTGAAGTTCTTCACAGTCTGCTTCTGTCTTGACTATCTTAAACAGTTTAGTATCATCCGCAAACTTTACTACCTCACCGCTTGCCCCTTTCTCTAGATCATTTATTAATAAGTTGAATAGGATTGGTCCTAGGACTGACCGTTGGGGGACTCCACTAGTTACACCTCTCTATGCTGAAAATTTACCATTTATTCCTACCCTTTGTTTCCTGTCTTTTAACCAGTTCTCAATCCATGAAAGGACCTTCCCTCTTATCCTATGACAATGTAATTTACACAAGAGCCTTTGGTGAGGGACTTTGTCAAAGGCTTTCTGAAAATCTAAGTATACTATATCTACTGGATCCCCCTTGTCCACATGTTTGTTAACCCCTTCCAAATACATTTATGGAGGTTAGGTTCATCAATGGCTATTAGGCAGGATGGGCAAAAATGACAGGATACTGGGCTAGATGGACCTTGGGTCTGACTCAGTATGGCCATTCTTATGATTTACTGCTTGTGTGAGTGAGGGTTTTCAGGTTAGGGAGGCTTTGCAGGATATTTGGAAGGTTTGCCCTAACATGGATATTCCTTTATCATTCTGAATGTTTTAAGTACTGTATTTCATTCAAAAGGAAGATCATAACTGTATGCCCTCTAATACTTTCATTCTCTGGTACAGTGAATTGGTTGTAGTTTTCATGCTGTTGATTTTTTTTTTCTTCCACCCACTCCTTGTAATACTGTTTGCCCTCATCCTATACTCTCACCATCCTGTGGCTTAGACTTATTCCTGTTGAGCCCAATCCTGCAGTCCATGTACATCAAAATCATTTTATTGAAGTCCATTTGGATGTGTTAAGAATCTAGAATAAGGCCCATTGATGGTGGTAGGCTTTATTGTCCTTTCACCTCCATGCAGTGATACTTGATCGTTGTTTGAAGTGTACATGTCAGCTTAATAATGCTGATCTGCTTTGATCTTGTCATCTTTCCCCTTCCTCCCACCCCAGAGATAACAGCACACCAGAGAGTAACTTTCTCACTCTCCTTATTAAGGTCAATGGATTCAAGTTGCTGACAGAAAGTGATTCCTGAGTATCCTGAAATAGCTATCCCGCATCTTCACAGCAAGCCCGTTATTTTGGACTTGCTGACATCCCTGTAAACCTCATTCTACAAGGAGTAAGGGATATTTTGGAATAGTGCTATCTTTTGAAATTTGGTGCTGCATGTAGATAGTGCCAAATGACGAAACAAGCTATTTCAAAATAGCATAAAAATAAGATACAGGCAGTCCCCGACTTACGCGGATCCCCGCATCTTCACAGCAAGCCCGTTATTTTGGACTTGCTGACATCCCTGTAAACCTCATTCTACAAGGAGTAAGGGATATTTTGGAATAGTGCTATCTTTTGAAATTTGGTGCTGCATGTAGATAGTGCCAAATGACGAAACAAGCTATTTCAAAATAGCATAAAAATAAGATACAGGCAGTCCCCGACTTACGCGGATCCGACTTATGTCGGATCCACACTTACGAACGGGGCTTTCTCGCCCCGGAGCTCGCAGGCAGCGGTCCGCCACCTCGACCTCCGGGGCGAGAAAAGCTGCTCCCGGTGCCCCTGGTCTGCTGGGGACCGTCTCCAGCAGACCAGGGGCACCGGGAGCAA